GCAAAACATTGGTTAAACTTTAACAACAGGTTTTAAGACAAGTAGTTGTAAATGACTTGTTTAAAATAATGTATTTCACCACCTTCATTTAACTGGTTGTGGTCCAAGTTATTTCCTTCAGTTATATGCACCATGAGATATAAGTTGAGTTTTTATGGTGGGATGTATAAAAAAATATCTTTTCTCTATATGCATTTCTCTTTCTTGGTTACAAGCTTTACTGTGCAGTAAACAGAATTGTAAAAGGAATAATATATAAACATAATCAAAATGTACTCTGCACAAGATTAGTTATTACTTAGGGATTTAAAAAAAAATAGGGATTTTTTTTTAATTTCCAGGATTAATATCCCACTCACTTTCACAAAAGAGAGATTTTTAAACAGCTATTATTCATTATACTGTAAAGACAATTCCTGGACAAATAATGAAGGAAAGGAATGACCACTACCATTATGGATTTCTCAAATACTGATGGCTAAACCTGCAAAACCCAGAAGCAGAGGCACAAATCCAGCAAAAATGAGTTTAAAAAGTAGAAATTTATTCTAAGCAATTTGCATATCCCACACAGCAATATCCCTACATTTTGGGATTGATGTTATGCATTCAGTCATGTCCAACTCCTGGTGATTCTGTGGGCCAGGTCTCTCCACATTTTTCAATCTTGCACGACTTAACTAATACTACTACTTAATTATTATTACTACTCCTACATGTTGGGATTACTAGATATAATAATGAAAGTGTTCAGAACAAGAGTATGGATTGTATGTACAGGTAGGCCTCGACTTATAACTGTTCATTTAGTGACCGTTCAAAATTACATCACTGAAAGAAGTGACTTATGACCATTTTTCACAATTACTACCTTTGCAGCATCTCCACGGTCACGTGATCAAAATTCAGACAGTTGGCAATTGATTCATATTGCCCTTCAGGACACTCTGGCTGTAGTGTCCTGGGATCATGTGATCCTCTTTTGCAATCTTCTGACAAGCAAAGTCAATGGGGAAGCCAGATTCACTTAACAACCGTGTTACTAACTTAACAACTAAGATTCACTTAAAAACTGTGGCAAGAAAGGTTGTAAAATGAGGCAAAGCTCACTTAACAAATGTCTCACTTCACAACATGAATTTTGGGCTCAATTGTGATCATAGGTTGAGGACTATCTGTATTTAATAGATCCAGTATAATGAGAACAATTAACCAGTGGAGCAACCTGCCTCCAGAAGCGGTGAATGCTCCAACACTGGAAGTTTTTAACTGGACAGGGCTGGTATAGGGTTTCCTGCCTGAGCAGGGGGTTGGACTAGATGACCTTCAAGATCCCTTCCAACTAGATGACCTTCAAGGTCCCTTCCAACTTTTTATTATTATTATTATTATTATTATTATTATTATTATTATTATTATTATTATTATTATTATTATTATTATCTGAAAGTGGAGAAATATGGTACCTCATTCACCATCCTCTCCCCAAAGTATGCTTGGTTTCTGGTTCTGTATGGGCAAGGGAGGGCTGGAAATACACATAATTGAAAGGTGAGACTGGTCAACCTCACTCAGTGATTCTGTCTCAATTCTGTCTCAAACCCACCTCACAGGGTTGTTACAAAGATCAAATGCAAGACAGAAGGTGTAAGTAAAATGTAGAGCTTTGTTTTGATCTATTCTAGTCGATTTAGTTATTATGTGAGGTGACAGTAATTACTTAAGACAGAGGTGGGAAACGACGGTCCCTTTATGACTTATGGACTTCAACTCCCAGAATTCCTGAGCCAACACGTTGAAGTCCACAAGTCATAAAAGGGCCGTCGTTCTCCACTCCACGTTTAAGAGAGGAAGCTTTCTGTCAGTGCCCTCTTCCTTGAGGGAAAGCCTTATGGCAGTGTTTCTCAACCTTGACCATTTTAAGGCATGTGGACTTCAACTCCCAGAATTCCACAGCCAGCGTTGCTGGCTGTGGAATTCTGGGAGTTGAAGTCCACATGCCTTAAAATGGTCAAGGTTGAGAAACACTGCCTTATGGAGTTCAAAGACATGTACTTCTAGGCGAGGGGGTGGTCTGTGACACCCCCAAGTAGGCTGGCAACAGCTAACCCTCCGTCAGCGACTTGCTGGCTGAAGGTAACGCGGTTACGCTGAAACACGTATCAGGTGCGGAAAGCTGATACTCGAAACCTAATGTCTTACAAGCCAGACTAACCTCGAGGAAAGAGGTTAATTACACCAGCTTCTTCCATCCGTGCGTTGGATTCCACTTCCCCCTTTTCCCAGGCACCTCAACGGGTGTTGGGCATGATGGGAGCTGTAGTTCAGCGTATCTGCAGGAGGCTAGGAGTTCAGGGGAAATACATATTCCACTCGATCGTAGCCTTATAGCCCGCTATAGGAGCTGTAAGTGCCCGGGAAAAGAATGACTTAGAAACTCGCAAGCCCGGCGGACGCGGGCCGGCTTACCATCTCCTATCCGCACCAGGTCCTCCTCCAAACGGCGGGAGCGGGATTTGCGCGGGAAAAGCAGCGGGAAACCGTCCGGCCCCTTTGACGAGAAAGTGCCACCTGATGGCGCTCAGCTGTATTGGCGACTCAGCAGCGGATGAGGCGGCCCCGCCCTCTCTCTCTCTCTCTCCCTCCCTCCCTCCCTCCCTCTCTCTCTCTCTCTCTCTCTCTCTCTCTCTTTTTGCGGTGTTCCATAGAGCTAGAAAAAAGAGTGCTCTCTCTCTCTCATGTTTGGTAAGAATTCGGCTGTTTTCTCCTTTTCCCCATTAAGGCAGGGCTTTTCAACCTTTTCACCCACTGTACCACTTTTAGGATATGGCAACATCCGAGTACCACCAGTCGCCTAGCAAGGTGTCAAAAACTTGATGACCCAAAAAAAAAAAAAAAGGAAAAAAGTGATAAGGTACAGGTAGTCCTCAACTTATAACAGTTCACTTAGTGACTATTCAAAGTTACAATGGCACTGAAAAAAGTGCCCCCCAAGCCACAGCCGAGCAAGACATCTGCCTGCCCACCTGGCAGCGCTCTTCCTCCTGTCTGAGGTTTTCATTGTGAGCATTTCTGTTGAGGATTGGCAGCGGGGATGGGGTGCGGGGTGTTTGGTTTTTATTCCCCCCATCTGCTGGGTGGTTGCAGCAGGTTTTGGTCACTTCACATGACCCTGGGACACTGTGACCGTCATAAATATGAATCAGTTGCCAAGCATCTGAATGTAAATCACAAGACCCTGGAGATGCTGCAACATTCCAGCTGATCGGCGCTTCTTCTGGACTCAGCAGAAGCGCCAGGATCAGTGCTGCTTTCCAGCTGATCGGTGCTTCTTCAGGGCTCAGCAGAAGCACCAGGATCAGCGCCGAGCTCCAACTGGAGCCTGACGCTGATCCTAGTGCTTCCACTGAGCCCTGACAGCCCTGCAGCTCCATCCATCTCTCACTCAGGCTTGTGCGGTGCTGCCACCGGTTCAGCTCATTCCCCTCCCCCACTACTACTTTTTTAGGATGGTCACGTACCACCTGCCAGGTACCAATGTACCACAGGTGGTACCCGTACCACTGGTTGAAAAGCCCTGCATTAAGGCATATCATTGTAATACTCCGCCCAAGTGTTCTAATACGTAACAGTGCGTTATTTCTTTATGTATTTAATTTCTTGCCTGGAGTAGCGTACGGAGGATACTGTTTTTGGAATATTACTGCATGGTTTACGTATTTAATTTCTATTCCTACAAATCGGCCCTAATCAAAATATTTTTCCCCGAAATACGGACAGGAGTATTAAAACTAAAATCAGAAATAATGTTTTTCTTTCGTACTACTTTTACTTTCAGGGTGTTCCTAATTAGTTTATTAAAAATATAGAACTGAAAAAACTCCGAATATTAAACAAGATAAAAGTTATCTAAACTATGGAAGGGAAAATTTCAGAATGATAGTTACACTTATTAAGAGTGATCACTCTAACCATGTGGATTCCCCTATCTGTGGTGTTTGCAATTAGATAGCATGCTTTGTTACCCATTTCTAACAACTGTGTGAAATAACACCTGCTTTGAAAAAGTTACATCTTCACTTAGCACCGTCGCTGTTTTGCTTTGTAAGAACACTATAATTTAAAGAGATTCTTCTGAGGCTTTTCACAATCTTGGTTTCACCACGGTGAATACTTGGTGTCATCCTTAAAGTTGGCCAGTTCATTCTTATCCTCAATTCAAGTTCATGTATGAACAAGCTTAAAAGCTGAGTCCAAACTCATCCTTGATGGTCTCTACTTCTTACAATTGTTCATTTACTTCTATTCTTTGGGGTGAGGTAGGGAATTAAGTAGTTCCCATGAACTCTACATTTTTTGAAAAAACATTAATGAACAATTTTAGTAAAAGCTCCAAGAGAAGAAAACTTGGTAAAAAGTGTTTTGAAAACCCAAGTATACAGTATAATATTGACAGGTTCACCTCCATCCACTCACTTATTGACACAATTTTTATATTCCTCTATTACTGTGGTGGGTTAAATAACCCTACGTGTGCTTATTGTTTCATTACAATCTAGAAATATTAGAAAATTCGTTAAGATGAAGCATGTAACTTCTTCCTATTTGATAGACTGGCAGATCAGGGCAGCAGCGTACATTACAGATCACTTCACTTAACTGATTCTTGCTCAGTTTTTGATATAGAGGTAACTTAAACCTACAGTGTATCACAGAAACTCCTTTTTTGTGACCTTGTAGTCCTTATTTGGGGTAGAGTTGGGGCGACAGGATGGAGCTGAGCATTTACTGGCCAGATGCCCGTTTTGATGCCTATGGAGTTTGCAGCAGATTTTTTTTTCTTTGCGCCCTAGGAGAGAAACATCTGCTGTTACCTAGGATTGAATTCTCAACCTTCTGAATGGGAGGCAAGCATCTTCACCACTAGGCCACCACGCTGTTTTACAGAGAATTGTACAGAGAAGAGCAACAAAGATGATCAGGGGACTGGAGGCTAAAACATATAAGGAACGGTTGCTGGAATTGTGTATGTCTAGTCTAATGAAGAGAAGGATGAGGGATGACATGATAGCAGTGTTCCAATATCTCAGGAGTTGCCACAAAGAAGAGGGAGTCAAGCTATTCTCCAAAGCACCTGAAGGCAGGACAAGAAGCAATGGATGGAAACTAACCAAAGAGAGAAGCAACCTAGAACGAACGAGAAATTTTCTGACAGTTAGAACAATTAATCACTGGAACAACCTGCCTCCAGAAGCTGTGAATGCTTCAACACTGGAAGTTTTTAAGAAGAGACTGGACAGCCATTTGTCTGAAATGGTATAGGGTTTCCTGCCTGAGCAGGGGGCTGGACTAGATGACCTCCAAGGTCCCTTCCAACTTATTATTATTAGTGTATCATTGAGCTATAATAAAATACACACATACACAATAATAATAAACAGGATTTACAAGACTATTTGAATACATTCAATGAAAGGAAGCATACTTTATTGAACAGTTTGTTTAACAATTCCTACCATCAGCAAATTCCTCCAAATGGCTAACCTAAGTCTACTTATCTGTAAACTCACTGGTTCTGTCTTTCAGAGTAAGAGAGAACAGGTCCAGTTTCTATTATATACTTGAAAACCACTAACACATCTTTTTCCTTCCTGGCTAAACTTACTCAATGCTAGACTTCTGCTGAGCTTGGTTTTCTCCCTAACAAGCCAAGCATGCCCCTGAGATACTGGAATCTCTGAGCAAAACACTAAGGCGAAAATCTGCTGAAAACAGCAGTGGTGTCTCTTATTAATTCAGTGGCCATTCATCGATCCCAGCATCTTGTTTGAGAGCCAAAACTCTAGGAGAAACTTCTTTCATTTTGTTTATATAAACTTCCTTCATATATGATGTATTATATAATTCTTGTGTAGCCACAGGATATTCTTATGAAGCAACTAGTTTATACAGGTTGCATCATCTTTTTCTGCATACCTTATTAAGAACAAACAGTGTTTGATTTAGGAAAAGGCCTTTTCATTGATTGTACATAGTTATACTGGTTTTCTCTTAGGACAAACAGAACTTGTTTCTTACTATTGTATGTTCCTTAATGCTCATTCCCTTCCCTGCCAGTACTTTGTTTTGTGCAACTTTGCTTTTATAATGGCTTCTACCTAATTCTATTGTGCATTTCAAAATATTGCTTTGGCTAAGTCTGCTAATATTTACTGATTTCAGGGTCCAGCACCTTTTCTTTTTCAGTCCTTTCACTATCTTGGCAGCCAGTTTGATGATGTTCTTTTTAGATTGAAATTCCCAGAACTGATCAGAGCAAAGAGGGACAATTATTTCCTGTGACCTGGACTTTATGCTCCTTTATATATCCCAAAGTTGCACTTGATTTTTTCAGTAGCCACCACACGATTGGCTCCTCTTCAACTTATGATGCATTAAAGCACACACATCTTTTTCACATATGCTGCCATCAAGTCAGATCTGTTATCTTGTGCTTTTCATTTTTTTTATTCTGAGATAGTTTACATTTCATCCATTTCAGCTCACATTCAAGTCTGTATACATCTTTTTAAACATATTCTTTTCCTTCTAAAGTATTAAGCGTTCCTCATTTTTCTGCCTCCTTCAAGTTTAATAATTATCTCCTCTTTAACATCATTAACAAAATATTGAATAACATACAAAATGTTGAATAACTCACAAAATGTTCAATAACACAGAAGTCAAAACAGTCCTTTGGCACTCCATTACAGATAGTCCTCGGGTTATGACCACAATTGAGCCCAATATTTACGTTGCTAAGTGAAACATTTGTTAAGTGAGTTTTGCCCCATTTTATGACCTTGTTAAGTGAATCATTCCAGTTAAGTTAGTAACACAGTTGTTAAGTGAATCTGGCTTCCCCATTGATTTTGCTTGTCAGAAGGTTGAAAAACTGTTTACATGACCCCAGGACACTGCAATTGTCATAAATCTGAACCAATTGATAAGCATCTGAATTTTGATCATGTAACCGTGGGAATGCTGCAATGGTTCTAAGTGTGAAAAATGATCATACGTCACATTTTTCAGTGCCATTGTAACTTTGAATGGCCACTAAATGAACTGTTGTAAGTCGAGGGCTACCTATATATAGTACTTTCCAAGCTTAAGTGGAATCATTAGCAATATTTTCTAGTAGTCATTTAGCTAATTATGAATCAAGGTAAACTTTCTATTACCTACTTATACAGTATATTAGGATTTTACTAATAAGAAAGGATTAATGAAACACTTCG